GTGCCTAATAGTTTCAGTGTTGATTTAATTTAGTCAGTCGTCCTTTCTACAAAATCCTGAACCTAATAATTTGCGTACAGACAGAATTGCTTAGACTTTCTCGTATAATGTAATAAAATAATATTCTTAGAAATTGCAGCAATCCTTAGAACGTAGGATCGTTCGTAAAAACCTAGCATAATCGAATCGGTTGGGATTACAATTGAAATCACGATTTTCATTGGATTGCGCGGTATCTCGTTAAGCGAAAGTGTCATGAAACGGTTTTAAATTCGAAGGCGTTCCGCGTACAAGAATCGTCGCGTTCGAAATCACGACCGAGTGACAGCTTGTGTCCCTAATTGCCGTCAATTGCTGGCAATTGTCGGCGTAGCGACCCTACTGCGAACCAGCTGCAATTTGCAGCTCGGTCGCGCGTCGCGTCGTCGCTCGTCACGCAAAATCGTTCGTCGCATATATACAATTAACATCCGACCGTACGTACGGCGATGGGCTTGCGGTTTCCTCCAAACCTGAGCGACGACCACGGGAAACGTTGATTCGATTCGCGAACGAGGTCTTAAATAATCGCGAAACAGGTTCACGGAAGGCTTCGCGTTATCTGCGGACAGACTCCACGCAGGCGATGTGAAACCGTGTGGCTCGTCCGTTCTTAATAAACCGTGAAACAGTCCTAATTACGGTCCTGTGGAACAGGGTGTGGTGACGCATTAAATTAACGTTCCGTTTCCGGCTGACACACTGCGCCCAGCTTTAAGGTTGTATGAGCCCTTGAATAAAAACTATTTTAACAGTTATTAGGAATTGCGTTAATAAAACACTGTGAAAATTTTTTTAAATTCGTGGTTATTCAGGAAGTTATTAAATCATTTTTCTTCATAATTTGTCAGATTTAACATTACGTATAAAATGATAAAAAAAAGGTAGAATAGAAATGAAGACCTTCGCCTTGTATAAAAGTCACAATTGTCTTTTTACGAATGTAACACATTGGAAACAATGCTAAACGAAAACGATCATAGGTATACATCGACTTGTATGCATTATGCATCTCTGGAACCGCCCTAATCGGCCCGACGTCGTCGATGCCCTGCGTTCCTTTCCCAAGCATTAGCTCGTACGCATCGCCACGCAAATTGCATACGCACGCCTCGTTGCGAGTGCCCCAGCACTGTTTACCATTTTCGAGCGAACCTGCGACGAAGGAACGTGTGGGCCAGGAGTGGACGCGTACGTATAGCTGGCTGGAGGATAAAAAAAGAAGCTAGGGTCGAAACGCGACGTGAGAATGGTGGGGACTTGAGCAGATGTTTGGTCCATGGCACGAGGGCTCCAGTTCCCTATAGGGTGCCGCGCCATAAACTACCCTCGGACTCGTTCCCGACGGCAGACGTACAATAGACTCGGTCGTGAGCCGGCCTTAAGGGCAACGTCACGCGAGGAGACGCGTAGACTCGCGTACGAGGCTGAATTCGCCGGAGTCGCCTTCGAGGCTCGCCTCTTCCACCACGTGGACTCTGCAGACGCGCCTTCCCGTGAATCATCGTCGCGTTGCATCGACCGAATCGTGTGCCGTGCGATTCGATTCTGCTATCAGTTGTCATTTCTGCGCGAGTGAACCGCAGGTTCGGGGTAACTTCCCTGACGAGTGCTCGGGGGGTCGATCGGTCTCGATCGGAAAAGGAATGTCGTTGAGAGCGAGTGCTCGAGTGGGTTTTGAGAGGACGTTTGAACGTGACTCGTGCCCGCTGGACGCGTCAGCTGCGTAGGACCTCGGACGATGCCTTCTGCGAACGCTACCAACTCGTAAGTGCCAACACCCTTTGTCGGCTATTTTCTAATGTACTGAGTTTATGCAATTGACCACGGAGGATGTGGGTCATTTTTTCATCATACGAAAAATGATCATACGTTCCTTCCCCCTCGGATCAATGGACACCGTCGTATCGTCGACGTAATTAGCCAATCGACTTATGTATGAACATAACCGAGCGGTACGAGGGTAGCAATCGTTGAAAATAATAATAATTGAAAATAATAATAATTGAAAATAAAACAATTGATCGTGTTATTTTATAATTTCATTGGAAGCGATTCGGATGATGTCATATCTGAGTCATCTAAATGTGTTTCTCCTAGAATGCTAGATATCCTCAGAACGCTAGAATAGCTGCAGAGTAACACGTGATACACGTGCAACGAGAAATTCCGTTCCGGTGTCGCGTTTACGTAAGTGGCTCCGAAACCAGGAAGATGACGGGGATGCAGTGTTGCGCTAATTGATGATCCCCTCGGCGGCTCGCAAACAGGAAAATGAAAGTGACTGGACGGCGGCGTATCGATTTTTTTACGCCGTAGGAAACGGACACTATGTGTAAGCCTATTGGCTAGATCGAGGATCGATTTCTTTTTTTCTGCAAACCATGTTTCCTTTTTAACCGTTGCGAAAACGAGACATCGTTTACTAGCTTTCCCGGTGTTACGAAACATCCAGCATTCACTAAATATTCCACTGTATTGTGTTACGAGTTATGTACAAATAAGTATATAGGTTTGCATTAATTTCCTGAAGTACACAGAATTGTCATAATAATTCAGAATGTCTTAATTATTTTTACACTCTGTATGAAT